TTAAAAATTACAGGGAGATACCACTATACACTAGAATGGAGGAAGTGAAAAAGACTGATGCTACCAAGTGTTGGCAAGGATGTGGTGCACCTGGAACTCTCAGACATTCCTGGTGGGAATATAGTCACTTTGGCAAAGAGTATGGCATTATCTTAAAAAGTTAAAGATTCATTACCATACAACCATACCATACAAGCAGAAATTCTACTTCTGTGTATTCACCCAGGAGAAATGAAAATATATGTCCAGACAAAACATGTATATGAATGGTTGTAGCAGCATTATTTGCAATAGCCCCAAACTGAAAATAACTCAAATGTCCATTGCCTTTGAATGGATAAACAAAGTGTGGTGTATTCATACCATGGAAAACTACTCAGCAATAAAAAGGAAGGAAATACTAACATAGACAACAATATGGATACATCTCAAAAATATTACGTTAAACGAAAGAAGTCAAACACAAAGATTCCATACTGTATGAGTCAATTTATATGAAATTCTATAATATTCTAACCTATAATGATACAATGGTTGCCTGAGCCAGGGTGAGGGGAGATGCTGGGTATGAGGTGAGGAAACTTTTTAGGGTGAGAGAATCGTTCTATTTCTTGATTGTGGTGGTGGTTCAATGATTGTAAAAAATTACAAAAGTTCACCAAATTGGACACTTGAAGTTAGTGTAAATATTACCTTGCTTAACAAAAAAGAGGAAAAAACTTCCAGCTAACTGTGAACAACATACAGCCAAAATTTAGAGGACTTACAAAAAAAATAGATACACTGGTAGAACATATATTCATTTGCAAAGTAGTTATTTCAAGGCTCAAATGCTTGTTTGTTTGTTTGTTTAATGAAAGCTTATTTATTTATTTTTGGCTGTGTTAGGTCTTCGTTTCTGTGCGAGGGCTTTCTCTAGTTGCAACGAGCGGGGGCCACTCTTCATTGCGGTGCGCGGGCCTCTCACTGTCGCGGCCTCTCTTGTTGCGGAGCACGAGCTCCAGACGCACAGGCTCAGTAGTTGTGGCTCACGGGCCTAGTTGCTCCACGGCATGTGGGATCTTCCCAGACCAGGGCTCGAACCCGTGTCCCCTGCATTGGCAGGCAGATTCTCAACCACCGTGCCATCAGGGAAGCCCTCAAATGTTTTTAATGTCAGATTGATGTGTTGGTTTGCATCCTTGGGAGTTTCCTGGTAAAATTCAGAATTGGTATCCTTACGTGGGGAACAAAGAGAGACCAAAGAAAGAGGCAGATCATTGCAGATTGGTAGGTGGCAGTTTTAATAAGCAAGAGACCTTACATATGAGGTTTGTCCTGGGTGGCTGCAACATAAGTAGATCTCCCCACCTACCCACCAGAATCTTAAGAGTTTGTGTAGAAGCCTTAATGGGGTTCAGTCAGGTATACTGTCCAGATGTTCTCAATAATACATTGCTCTGTCAAAGCTGTGTCCTTCAAGTGGCTCCTAGTGTGGGTACAGTGGGCAGAATGTACATTCCAAGGACAGGGGAGCACGGAGTGAGGAGCTTCTGATTGCTTGGGTCCAGCTTGAAGGTCAACTGGGGTCATGTCCTCTTAATGACTTCCTCAAACACGATGAGATTCCAACAATGCTTTGAGGAAGTATGATCTTCATTTTGAAGTTGTTAAAGCAGGCCGAGAGACCATGAGTAACTTGCCCAGGGAAACAGCTAGTAAGTGGTGAGGCAGGGATTCAAACTAGGCCTGAAGTCAGAGCTCATATTCCATCTACTACACGCCTTTGACTCCTTAACTGAATCCGACATTAGTGTTTAACAGGGTCTTTGGGGGCCATTTGGACATGTTGTGAATAGAATTTAATGATAAACCTCATTTTTAGCTTGTTTTAAAAGTTGTTTTCCTCTCGAATCCTCTACCACAGTCACAATGCTCTACCAGTGGTCGGAGAATGTCTCATGAGTCCTTCTCCACACCTTGGTCTCTTCCATTTGAATCACCCTCTCACATTCCCCTTCGCTATCCATCAGTGGTTCACACACCCAGTAAAGGTCAGCCCTCCAGGGGGTATTTGGAAGCGTATATGTCGGGGAGTATTTTGGATCCCTGGTACGTAGCGGGCAGGAGTCAGGGATGCTAAGCATTATGTCATGCATGAAGCATGAACGAGTCATCCAGCCCCAAACTGTCAATAGCACTCCCTCTAAAACTTTGGCTAAATCCTGTCTTTAGAGACCTAGCTCAAGTCATCCCTGCAACCCAGCCCGAAGTCACCTCTCTCTCGGATGACTCCATGCCGTTGCTACCCCGCCAACTCCTGAGTAGCTTTTCAGTCTTACTTTCTCTGGTTTCCTTCTCCTCTTGATGTAAAAGCCTATCTGTCGAAGCACATTGGAGGCACTCTGCCTTCAGGAAGCCAGCCTGCTATTCATAAAATGATTTAAAAAGGCTTCCATAGGCAGTGCTGTAGGAATTTCTTTAGAGATTGTAGCTAGGGAGACATGAACATGGGCCTTTCTACAGTGTGAGTATAAATGTGTATGCTACGGATGCCAGTGAGAGACCTGGGGTTGGGGGTGGGTTGGGATCGGGGTTTCAACCATTGCTGGCCTTTGCTTGGGCCTCTAGAAGGCATCAGAGATGGCTCTCCTGGAACCTCCTGTTAGCGCTTAATTCTGTGCGGGTTGTCGACATGATTGATGCACCAGGCCATTAATCCAGTAAGAGGCTGCTAAATGGGCAGATGAACAAAAACAGGAGGCCCTTCTGAGAGCCATAAATTATCTCTCATAATAGCTTTATATACTTGAAAGTGAAGGGTATTCTGAGAGCACTGTGGAAAGTACCTGGAACCTCAGTTTCTAATAGAAACCTGGGAAATTTGATTCAACTACTAACAAATTGAAGACTTATTTTGTACAGGTGACCGGGCTGGTACAGAGATGAATAAAAAGACAGTGCTTAATCCTTCTGGAGTTCAAAAACTTAGGAGAGAGAGTAATTTTCAAAAACTACATTTCCTTCCCCTACCCCAACCCTATAGCTAGCCCTAAAAACTAGCCCTTTAATACCCTCTCCAGACCTGCTCCTCTTCACCCCTATTGCTACTGCCAGGTTTTCTGAAATCCTGGATGGATAGCGGAAACAGCCTCTCTACATGGTTTCCTTGACCACTCCTGCCCCATCCGGATCCAACATCCTCACAGCAGAACGTGAACATTTCCAGAAAGCAATCTGATCCTATCATTCAGTAACTGATGCCAAACCCTTTAACGCAGGGGTCTCCAACCTCCGGGCCATGGACCAATACCGGTCTGCAGCCTGCTGGGAACCAGCCGCACAGCAGGAGGTGAGAGACAGGCAGGCAAGCAAAGCTTCCTCTGCTGCTTCCCATTGCTCCCCATCACTGGAATTACTGCCTGAACCATCCCCCCGCCACCCCCCATCTGTGGAAAAACTGTCTTCCATGAAACCGGTCCCTGGTGCCAAAAAGGATGGGGACTGCTGCTTCAATGGCACTCTAATGTTTTTAAGGATGAAATCTGAACCCTTGCCAAGGCCCTTCACCATTGCAGGTCTGTTTGCATCTTCAGCGTTTCTGTAATATAATTCTCTAATCCAGATATACCGACCCTCTGGCAGTTTCCCAGGCCTCCAAGCTCTCACTCGCTGCTCCCTGATGCTATGTGTCCCAGCCCAGAATCCAGTCAACCACGCTTTCAAAATTCAGCCCAGGTTCCATCTCCTCCTTCTCCTCCTGTCCCCATGGGTCAGGGGCACCTCTGTTTGGCCTCCCATCGCCATTATGCTTTCTCACTTGTCACACACACCATACCTGACTCCTTATTTGTCTGTCTCAGTCAACTTTGATTTTCTCAACTAAATCACAAGAACTATACCTGACTCATCTCTGACTGCTCAGCACCTAGCAGTGAGTCCGGCATCTGCTAGGCACACAGTAAGTGCTTGCTGAATGTATTTGAATGAGTCCTATGTGAGGTGATAATAAATAAGACAAGAATGGCTTATTCAGAGATGCTGTATTGTGCCTTTATGTGGTCCCTGCTTTGTTTCTAACATTGCACTTGGAAAAGTTGTCATGGGCAATTGAATGCCTCATTGTTCCTGAATGATGTATGGGAGGGGTATGATCTCAGAAAAGAGACAAGGTTTGTTTTCCTTGGGGAAACCAAAATACAGGTTTCCAATATAATTCTAGCTCACAAATGATAAGAACATCCATGTTCAAAGTGATATATGCATAGAAGATCTATAGTTTAGTAGGCTGAATATTTTAGTTAAGTAGCTGAGTTTGAAATGTCATGATTTTGTCAAACAATCTGCCTTGCTTTTGACTCCATTTGATTTTTTTGGACTGTGTGTTAGTTTCCTAGGGATACCATAACAAATCCACACTAACTTGGTGGCTTAAAACAACAGAAATTTATTCTCTCACCATTCTGGAGGCCAGAAGTCCAAAGGCAACATGTTGGCAAGCTGCGCTCCCTCTGGAGGCTCTAGGGGAGGATCTCTCCCCGCCTCTTCCATCTTCTGGTGGCTCCAGGCTTTCCTTGGCACAGGGCTGCATCACTCTAATCTTGGCCTCCATCTTCACATGGCCATCTCTTCTCCCTGTGTCCTCTCCTCTTCCGTCTCTTCCAAGGATACTTGTCAATGGTTTTAGGTAATTCCCTAGATAATCCATGACAAGCTCATCTTGTGATACTTAATTATATCAGCAAAGACTCTTTTTCCAAATAAGGTCACATTCATAGGTTGCAGAGATTAGGGTGTGGATAAAACTTTTTTTTGGGGGGGGGTGCACAATTCAATCTACCATAGACTAATTTAAATACATTTATAAATGAGATCTGGATGGAATTCTAAGAGGCTAAATGATTATTTTGTAATTACAAATTACAAATAACTATTTTGAAATGCCTGAGAGGGGTCTTATTTCCTAAAGTAAGGGGCTGCGACTAGGTGAGTATTCAGTATTAATATTAAATGGAGATGCCACCACCCACTGGTTGCTAAGATCCACAATTGGCAGAGCTCGGAGGTAACAACACAAAATGCAGAATAACGTGTGATATCACAGCTAATACACTTAATTATGTGGTATCTGTTAGCACTTTTGAAAATGTAAAATGGCCATTCAGATACATTGGATATGTTGAGCCCAGCAAGGACAATTGGCAACTTTATTTTTCTCTTGGGCTTTGAAGGCCTGAGTTGAATGAGTAGGGTTAGAAGCTTCTTTTTTTTCCCCCTTAGAGCTGTTGGTATTTCATGTTCATTAAGGAAGAAGCAAGGAGAGGCAGATTCTCTTGGAATCACTGAGTATCAATTCAAGAGTCTGCAACAAAGGGGATAGAAAAAGTATTGCATAGATATTACTATTGTGCCATGAAATGAATCAGTTTATCCAGTCCAGGGGTTGGCAAACTATTTGGTCTTAGGCCAAATCTAGTCCACTGCCTGTTTTTGTAGGCAAAATTTTATTGGAACATAGCCATGCCCATTCATTTATATTTATTGTGGTTACTTTTGCAGTACACTAATGGAGCTGAATAGTTGGATCAGAGACATAATGGCCCTCAAAGCCAAAAAGTATTTACTATCTGGCCCTTTACAGAAAAAATTTGCCTGATTCTACTCAATAATATTTAACATTTTTGAACATAAGTACTAGATGTTGTGTCGTTCTATATGCATCGTGTCATGTAATTTGATTTTATATTCAAAGCTACGCTCTGAATTAGTTGTTATTGATTGTTATTACTGGCATTTTGTAGATAAGGAAACTGAGGCTTAGAGGACCAAGTAACTTGCCCCAGATACAAAGCTGCTAAATGACAGAGATGGGACTTGAACTGGTCTGTTTGATTACTCAACTAGAGTTTTCATTCATAAACCAAATGCAAACTTTTTGTATCTCCTAATTACCTAAATTAGCACAGAAGAGTTTTACATACCAAGGACCACAAGGAATATAGTATATATTGACATATTTGTTGTTGCCTTTTGAAAAATACAAAAATATTATTTAAACCTTATTGGAACAATATTCTAAAATAAGCTTTAGCTTTTTTCAGTTATTTAGTTAGCCAGTATTTAGTTATTTAAACTGTATTATATGCAGAGAGGCAATGAATTCACCTGTGGAGTGCACCCTCTTCTCTTGGTTATAAACGTGATTAAAGGGAGGTCTCATTCAAAAGCTACACCTGGGATGGAACCTTGGCCAACAGACTTCGTGTAATACTGTGGTTCTACTGGCAAGACTATCTTTGCAGTGAGGAGGACTGTCTCCTCACTGCATTCTCCCCTCCCTTGTTATCGGAGGGCCACTTCTAAAGTCTCCCTACCTGACTCTCCTCACCTGGTTCCATGTTTAACAACCAACCTATTGGTTATTCAGGGCTGGTGCACTGCACAGCTGTGGGAGTGGAGGTTGCACCAGTCTCACCGCAGTCCGCATGAATGGCAGCCCCTAGGGTTCAGCACTATGCAGCCTGGGAAGCTGTATGTAGGTGGCTCTGGAAAGAAGGGACAGGTCTTGCTGACACCTGCAGTTTTAGTGGAAGTTATGTCAGTCGTAAAATATATTGTCATCCAGTTGTATGCACTGCTATCTGTGAACCTGAGTTAATGTGAGTGTACCTCTGAGACAGGTCCATTTTCTATGTGCTCACACCATCAGGGTTTTGGATTTGGCAGACCATGAACCAGTCCCTGGAGGGCTGTAACATCGCCAAGGAATCAGATGCCACATTATGAGGTCTCTAGGTAAAGAGTCATAGACTTCCTTGGCATTACCATGATTAAACCACATGTCCTCCCATCTGTGGAAGATGTTTTGCTGTGCCACTCAGAAGTGGATGACTAAATCCTCAGCTGTTGAGATGGCATCAGCTAAGAGGACTGCCTTGTCCCCTTGGGAAAGCTTCCAAGGGTCCATCTGTCTTCAGAACTTCTTGTAGGGTTGGCTGAAGCTCCTACTAAGACTGCATCACAGCTCGACTTCTCCCACTGCCCAGTCCTGCTTTCTTCCCTTCCTCCCACTGGTGCTGATAAACAACCTGCATGCTCATCTCCATCTCAGAGTCTGCTTCCTGGGGAACCTAACCTGAGATACCACTCAAGCCTCAGAACTGGAGACCTAACTAAGGACTGGCAATCTATGGAAATGACAATGGAGAAATCTCCACTTATTCATCCAACAATTATTTATTGAGCACCTATTATGAGCCAAGTCCTTTCTAGACATCACGAATAGAGCAGTGAATAAGAAAAGTGTCTACATTCTGGAGAACTTTCCAGTGGGAGGCAGACAAAAACAAATAACAATTTAATATATTAGGCAGAGATATACACTTGAAGAGAAACAAAGCAGGGTGAAAGCTTACAGTTTTGGGGTGGGGCTACCATAGGATGCTTCAGGGAAGGCCTTTCTGAGGTGGCGACATAAAGCAGAGGCCGAAAGGAAGTCAAAGTGCAAAGCAGTGCAAAGATTTGGGAGAAGAGCATTCCCAGCAGAGTCACCTAAAATGTAAAGGCCCAAGGTGGGAATGAGCATTGGGTTTTTGAGAAACAGCAGGAAGGCCAGGATGGCAGAGTGGAGTGAGCAAGGTGACAGGCGGTAGGTGGTGAGATCAGAGGTCCAGAAGGGTGTCTGAGCACAAGGGGAAGCATTTAAGGGTTTGAGCAGAAAAGCAACAGAATCTGATTTTTGTTTTAAAAAGATCAATCTGACTGCAGTTGGGGAAAGAGTGGAAGCAGGGGACCAGTGAAGAGGCACTACAGTGATCTAGGAGAGCATTGATGGTGACTTGGACCACTGTGAGGGTGGTGAGAAGTAGCTGGATCTGGGGATGTATTTTGAAGGCAGAGCTTTAGGACTTGCTGATTGTTATGGACTGAATGTTTATGTCTCCCCAAGTTCGTATGTTGAAGCCCTAACGTCCACCCCCACCCCCAGTGTGATGGTATTAGGAGGTGGGGCCTTTGAGAAGTAATTAAGATTAGATGAGGTTATGAGGGTACAGCCTCCATGATGGGATGGATACCCTTATGAGAGGAACTTGCTTTCACCACCGTGTAAGGAAGCTGCAAGAAGTGAGCCTTCCACAAGCCAGGAAGAGGTTTATCACCCTAACCAACCAGGCTGGCACCCTGATCTTGGATTTCCAGCTCCAGATTGCAAGAAATAAATTTCTGTTTAAGCCACCCACTCTATGGTATATTGCTATGGCAGCCAGAGCTAAGACACTGATGTGTCGGATGAGGGGCTAGGGGTGGAGAGAGTCAAGGCGCTCACTAGTTTCTTGGCCTGAGTACGTGGATGAATGGTGGTGTCGTTTACTGCGATATGCGTTCTCCCCATTTATAGATTGCTACAGTCTCTTGTGCACAAGTCAGAGGGCCCATATGGTGATTTGTATTTGCAGGAGAATGCGTCACTGCATGTCTGAGATGACTTATGATGAAGGAGCTAGAGGAGATAGCATTTAAATTAAAACAATATGCACTTATTGTTTTATAAGAAATATTCCTGGTGGGAAAGGGAAAGTGAGGGAGGTTGCAGTCACAAGCATTCTGCTCTTATTATCACTAGGAGAATTGTCATCTCACTTGTAGAACAGAATTAGGTATGATAAATAAGCTTCAAAACCAGAGGAGTGCTGAATACTGTCTGGTGTTTCTGGTCAGTTCTGCTGGCATTTGTTGATATCGTTATAGTCTTCTTCTTTAAATTGATGCAATAAATTTTACTGACATATTATTTCATAATGTTGAGCCATTCTAGCAATGCTGAAATAAAATTGACCTGGAAGTGGTATAACAATCCTTTCAATATACAACTGGATTTGATTTGCTCATAATTAATTATTTAGTTAACTTATTTATTAACATTTAATGTTCTTTCAAAAATAAGTTTAGAATACTTTCTATTGTCTTTTATTTTCTATTTTATTAATTTTAGCTTTTATCTTTATTAATTACCTTCTCCTACCTTATTTTATTCTCGTTCTAGTTTCTTAAAACTGACCACATATTTAATTTGTTTTCAGATTTTTTAAATAATGACAGCATTTAAGGCTATACATTTCCATTTGAGTATAACACTACCTATGCCCATAAGCTTGGATATGATATATTTTCCTTGTTGTTAATTTCCATGTAATTTTTCAGTTTTGATTTCTCTCTCTGACCAAAGTGTTTAATTTTGTTTTGTTTTCAGAAGAGTTTAAAAGTTCCCAATTGTTTAAGGTTTTTTTAGTCATAATTTTGTTGTTGACTTATAATTCTTTTAGCTTATAGTTAGAGAAATTAATCTATAAAAACAATATATTTCAGAGTTTATTAAGGTTGTCTTTCTGATCAATTATATGACCAATTTTTGTAAATAAGCAATGAACATAAGATTAGAAGGTATACTGGAAAGGAAATTTCAGTTACTCATGGGTTTTCCAAGAAATCTTGCCATTCCCTACAGGGCATACATGATGTGTTTGACTGTTACCTTCTGCTGGTGTCTCCATCTTAAGCCAGGTCTGCATCATTTTCTTCATTATGATATCTCACTTGGTTTCATCCCTGTCACCTCATTTTAGAATTATTAATTATTTCAATTGCTCATTCCTTCTATTCTCTTTACTTTTACCGGCTTGGTCAAGTTTCTCTACTTTCACAGCACTTCCTCCTCATTCCAGACCCTGGTTTTCTAGAAGTTCTTCTAGGCTTTTGAATTCCACTAGTATTTACTTTTCCCTCGTTAACTATATTTTTCATTAAAAAAATTTATTAGTAAGCTGTTATGTGACAATGCCTTTGTTAGGAAACATGAAAGATATAAGGGGCGGGGGTCATTTCACTGCCGTACGCTTCAAATGCTTACAATTCCATTAGTTTATAGCAGTGGCTCGCAATCAACTACCACTCATCTTTCTACATTTCAGCTCACAAAATTAGGTTTCAGTCTTCTCTTTCTTATTCTCTTTGTCCTCGTGGGTTTACAATTTTTTTAAAAAGCCATTTATTGTAGCTTTTAGTGAGGACTTGGTAGAGAACAGAGTAAAATTATGTGCTTCATTTTCCATCTTTAACCAGCAACCTTTATTTTTATACTAACATAGAAAATTTAAATAATGTTTATGCCACTCTAATAAACTATTTTACCTGCCCACTTCCTACAAGCCTCTAGAATTTTTAAAAAGCTTCTTTAAACCTCTCTTTCCAGACTGCCCTGGTGACGCAGTGGTTAAGAATCCACCTGCCAAGGCAGGGGACACAGGTTCATGCCCTGGTCTGGGAAGACTCCACATGCTGCATAACAACTAAGCCCATGTGCCA